GATAAAGTTAGACAGAGAGAAAAACAAATTACAGCACAGCATTACTCTCTGAGAGAGAGAGTGAGTAGAGAGTGTAGAGAGAGAGAGAGAGAAGAGAGAGAGAGAGAGAGAGATGTGAGTGTATGAGAATAAAAGGGACGGAGGGATCATGTGTCTGTGTGCGTATTCCTCTCTATGTGTGTATGTGTTTGACAGAGAATACGTGTTAGTGTGTATCTATGTGCGCGTGTACGTGTACGAATTGGTATGTGCGTTCCTTATTTAGAAGACAGAGATGGAATGAGAGAAAAACAGTGCGTGAGAGAAAGATTAATAACAGTCAGTGTCGCTTTGCGTGAGAGAAAATAAGTGTCAATGCATGCGTGATTGCGCGTGTGTGTACACGTGTGTAAAAATTAATTTATGAGTTCCTTACTCAAGGTTTCAATTGTTGACCCCTCACATGTAACCATTATATGCTACAGCTGATGAGATCATGTATAACCTTTCCTCCATTGCCCAGCGTGATATAACTGATGAATATCTCCAGCGAAAATATGCCCCATGCCCCAATAAAGTCAACCCGAAACGTTTGTCATTTAAGGATTGAATTTCTATTTTTCTGAAAAGTGCAATTCGGCCAGTCGATTATCGTCTCTACACAATAATGATTGCCTCACTAAATAGAGTTGTCGTTGTATGGAGAAAAGAACACAAAGCATGCAACTTGTTATGAATTTTTGCATCCGTCATCCTTAACAGCATCAACAGCATGTCAACCTCTAGACTTTAATAACCAACATAATTGATATTAGGGACACGTCTAACGATGTTTAAATTGGTAATAGTCTCACTGCAGTGTCGTAATTGTCATGTGAAAACTGTGCCTCAGTTTCATTATTTTCTCATCCACATTGGTTTAGTACTTCGTACGTCAGGCTGGATTGCTTCTGTGTCTTACCTCAAAAAGCCTAAATTAGTGTCCGCCAGTCGTAATTATGTACACACCTGATTAATTACTCTACTTCAACTCACCACAGACACCTAAAGGGTCATGTAACGTTGCTACATTCAAAGTTTCTCTGATCAATATAAATGAGTTTGTTTTATATCGCGAACTTCACTGAATTTCTAAAACGCCAATTTCTCCCCAATTAGGCCCCAGGGAACGTCTTTAGAGACGTCCGTACGGCTTATTTGTTTTAGAAAGTCTTAGCTCTTTTGATCACCTTCAGTTGAGATATGTAAGCAACACTGAGATGTACGAAACGGTTAATGAGTACATTTTTCATGAAATTGAAACCTTTACGGTGATTGCAGCATGTATCGGGATATAGTTATCACAGATGTACGTATTTAATGTTTTTATGTTCACTGTTTTAGTAAAAGTCCTTGTGTTTGTTAAAATAGCAGTCCGATATATTTCTGTGGTAATATGTATTGAAGAAGATGTACTAAATACCAGCTCACCTACAGGTTCAGCCTCATATCATCTATATGTCCAACTCCCTAATTACCATAATTATCAATATTACGTTCAACGGCCTACAAACCAGTACACATGTATGCCCAACAACCCTATATGTCACCTCCACTACCTATATATAACCTCAATGATGTATGTACAAACCAATGTGTTCACCCCACAGATGCCTGCTCACCTATATGTCCAACTCCCTATATGCCACCTCATCTGTATATGCCACCTCACCTGTATTTTCAACTCCCTATATGCCACCTCACCTGTATTTTCAACGTCCTATATGCCACCTTACCTGTATTTTCAACTCCCTATATGCCACCTCCCCTGTATTTTCAACGTCCTATATGCCACCTCACCTGTATTTTCAACTCCCTATATGCCACCTCATCTGTATATGCCACCTCACCTGTATTTTCCACTCCCTGTATGCCACCTCACCTGTATTTTCAACTCCCTATATGCCACCTCACCTGTATTTCCACTCCCTATATGCCACCTCACCTGTATTTTCAACGTCCTATATGCCACCTCACCTGTATTTTCAACTTACTATATGCCACCTCACCTGTATTTTCAACTCCCTATATGCCACCTTACCTGTATTTTCAACTCCCTATATGCCACCTCACCTGTATTTTCAACGTCCTATATGCCACCTTACCAGTATTTTCAACTCCCTATATGCCACCTCACCTGTATTTTCAACTCCCTATATGCCACCTTACCTGTATTTTCAACTCCCTATATGCCACCTCACCTGTATTTTCAACGTCCTATATGCCACCTTACCAGTATTTTCAACTCCCTATATGCCACCTTGCCTGTATTTTCAACTTACTATATGCCACCTCAGCTATTTGATTTAAACATAAATGTTATTCAATTAATGAATAGGGATTGGTGAAAAATCTAATAGCATATATCAGCACCGCTCCCGTACAACATATGAAACACACTTCAAGTCAGTAGTGAAACATTCATAATGATATCAGATTACAGCCATGGGAATAGCAATACATCTTACTTCTTATCTGTGTACACGTTACACATGTGAAGAAATAGTGTAAAGCGTTTTCTGTGTGATATTCACAGGAACAGTCTGGCCGTTCCGATATATGTCTATTGTACATATCTATAATACATGTCAGCTATTTTTTAAACTCCCTACATACCCTTACCCTTAGCACAAGCCCACAAGACCTGCAAGTACTCCCTACATAGTTGCTGTATTGATTGAGCTATTTGACCAACTCAGTATATTCCATTTCACGTAAGTGTCCAAGATCCAGCACACGATCTTATCTATATATGTCTAACTTCATGTATACCAACTCAGTTATATAACTTAAGCGTACCATGCACCGACTCACCTCATTATCTACCTTCTGTAATATACTTCACTTGTCCATCTAAGTTCAAATATACCAGCTTACCTTTATGTCCAGCTTCCTACGTGACACCTTAAGTACATATACAACTATGTTTACAACATTTAAGCTCACCTGCACAAACTATATCATTTATAGGTCCTTTTTCTACGTATAAGATCTTAAAGTATTGTTTAACATTTTATATACAAGCTTCCTATTTACAAATTCAACTGTTTTTGCAACTAGCATGTGTTACATACCCGCCCAAATGTATACCCAACTTGCTACATGCAGACCCGTGAAGATCCGGGTTCGAATTGGTCTTCAGCAACCCATACTTGTCGTAAGATGCGAGTAACGGGATCGGGTGGTCACGCTTGGTTGGCACATGTCATCGTCTCCCTTTTGCGTAGATCGATGTACATGCTATTGATCACTGGATTGTCTGGTCCATACTCGAATATTTAAGGACCGACGCCATATGGCTGGAATATTGCTGAGTGCCGCGTTAAACAACAAACCAATCAACCAATGCGTATCTAAAAAACAATAACCAGGTTACATATACTGCCAAATAGCACAATTCTCGGTACAGGTACGAGAACACCACGAGCTTATAATCCAGACCCCAAAGAATAGATACTGACAGTTCCCAAACAAGTGGATGTGTCCATGCATTGGTACCTTATGTACCGAAGTTTTTGCAAAGAACCCGTTTGCACACACGGATCGTCATATGCCAGCATATGTCTTCAGCGATATATTTTTCTGGAACATTATTTCTATCCATGCATCGATCGTTCCATCAATCCATCAACTCGCCACTCTTCTACCAACTAGAGCACACGCATACACCTTTCACTATGGCCACACGCCTACACAGATACACTTACACATCTACTTGTTCAAACACGTTGATGGCATATATCAACACTAGAACAGTAACATATTCCCCGCACCGACGTGTGACGAAGTGTTGTACATGTTAAAGACTGAACAAGCCGTTTGGTACGATCTTAGCTTATGCTTGAAATTGTCTTAACACGTGTGGCCTCCCATTGTGCTTGTGCCGTTATTTGTGGGCACGGAAACACACAACATTGCCGCACATAAGTAGCCCATTTGACATAAAGCTTTACGGTAGAAGTCTTATCTTTGTTTAAGGATGGAGTCAAATAACATCTAGCGCGTGTCTCAGGGATAGGAAGCAAGCAGAAAATTCGTATTATTTCACCAGTGAGGGTTTACGACAAGACTGGTCTCACATATGTGCATTGTGCTGTTACATATTACTCGTGTTAAGGTTAACTAGTGTAAGTGGAAAGATGTCACCTTGTAAACTGTTTTACCCTGCTGTTACACGTCTATATTCATGTTAAGGATTATCTATGAATATATTATATATACAATGCTAAACATTATCAGTCAAGACCTCAGGCATGTTTCAGTATACAGCCAAACATCGTTGTGTCGAAGTTGGAGGGATCTAAATACTTCGAATTATCCAAGGCTCGTCATAATAGCAAAATGGTGACTTCAAAAAGAATATGCAGGGCACATCAAAGTTCGGCATTGTGGTGTTTGACTGTAATTGTTTAACTGTAATGACGGGCACTTGAATTATTCGAAGCTTAATTAACGAAACTATTCTTTATTGTTTATTAACAGAAACATATTTATGTCCAGTCATATACGCATAGGAGCAAATACAATTTCTAAACATGTCAGCGTTCCCTTCCACAATATAGACATGGCTTAAAATATTTATATATTTGTATGACACTATGTAAATACCCAACCATATTTCCACCCAGTTTGCCTGTGGGTGTATTCCGCATTTGAACCCAACCCTAACATAGGAAATGATTGTGAATCAGCCTCTGGCACTGCAATCTCTCGCAGCTATCAAAAACTCATATTATCTCTTACAGATTGTGACTGGTTCGCGCATCGGACATGGTATTTGCCCCTTTTCTACTGCGAGAGAACCTCAGCTCGAGCCACATGTGATTCCCGAATCCACGGGCTAATATTTAGCAGGTGTCGGCGAGAGGCAACCAACCACTCGATAAATAGTTCGCTCGAAACCAGCCATCTCCACCGCAGTGATTTTCGATCAGCTCTGTGGCACGTCCCATTCTTTGAAGGGATTCCTATTGTAAGGCGGAGTCTTTATCTCCACGGAAGCAGTACGGGAATATGCTCAGTACTCTGATATAAGGGCTTGCTTTCTCCAGCAATTGGAAACTTTTGTAATAGTGATCAACTTGTGAAATGTCACGTACTCCCTTGGTTATACGCAGTTAAAGAAAAATGTTTAATATGAGTGGGAATTCTTTTATTGACATAATGAACGGAACTGATTTGGACACTCCAGGAACTAATTCAACTTTAGCCAACTTGAGTTCTGTGTTTGTTGAGGATCCTGATATTCCCGAGTTCGACCCTGCAGGTGACTACTCTCTGTTCTATGAAGGGGATATAGAGAATTTGAAGAAGCCATGGCTGCAAGAACCTCACTTTATTCCAACGGTATCTGTCTATGGCGCAGCTTTTTTAATAGGATTAATTGGTAATTCGTTGGTCATTTTTGCCATGGTGGGTGACCGCAAATCTCGGAGTGTTACAGCATCTTTCATGGTGAGTTTGGCTGTGGCGGATCTTCTATTTCTCTTAGTCTGTGTTCCATTTGAAACATCCAGATACTTTATAGGACACTGGGAGATTGGACCAATATTGTGCAAACTTTCTGGTACAGTGGAGATGATATCAGCCCTAGCATCTATACTTAATCTGACAGCTGTCAGCATTGAAAGGTAAGCAAGTTTATTATTTATCAGTATGCATGTACATGAGTGTTTACTATTATGCATAAAAAAACTTCAATGTTTCAGAAAGGTCAATGCCAATAACTGTAATCAGTAATCATATGTTTATGACGATGACGATGACGACGATGACGATGATAACGTCGATGACGATGACAACGACGACGGCGATGACGTTGACGATGGTGATGATGGTGATGATGATGATGATGATGATATTACAAGTCTGTTTTTTTTTGGTCAAATGTTAATGTTTTCGAAAGGATTATGGGGGGGTGGAACATATCCCCAGCAAGATCTATGCATGTCTTACGAGGCGACTTAATTGGATGGAGGGATTTGCGACTTAACTGATTTCGAGTCATTATACTCCAACGACATAGGTTGGTGTCTCTAATATCAATCACTGGTTTCTCTGTTCCAGATTCAAATATATATATACAGGCAATATCATGGGTATTATTGATGAGTTGAATGACACCAAAGATAATACATTTTATAGGTTGTGTAGAATATATGTTAATAATACGTTATAATATATATCATATTATACGTTATTTCTGAATTTTTAGAAAACGTTTTAAATTAGTCCAGTAGTTAGCAATGCACTTGTGTTACCGGTTTATTCAACATAAGTGTCGTATCTAATGATCCTTATAACCTTTACGTAGCTATGTTTTTCATGTAGGAACATGTTTTATCTTGTCGTCAGCTGCTGTTTGTGTAACGCAAGAAGTAGTGTCTGCCTACTTCACTATACAACGTGAAAACATAACCTTTCTACCTGGCAGTGAGTGAGTCAACATGATTGTTCAAACACTGCACTGTTTCAGTTCCACAGTGAATGAACCACACTGTTCTGCCGCTTTATGTATTATTATCGTGACGTAAAACATCACAAACCAAGGATCATACTCGGAACGACACATGGATTCAACAGCAGGATTGATCATTCACTACCCGAGAACTGGATACATAGCTCAGTTGCGAATGCGTTAGAATGAGATTTTTTTTTTTATTGTTTAGACGCAGTTATTGACCGGAGAACGCTAACGCTTAGCCTGGTCAACAGATGTGGGTGGCGTGGGGGTTTCAGTGTGACGTGACGCCTCTATTTGCAGAAGAATGTCGATGAAAGATAAGATGTGAAAAAAAAGAGAATTTAATAAAGGAGATTGGGCTGAAAAAAATAATGGCATGGTTTGGAAAAAAGTAACCTTCCCCAACAACCGCCCTCCCCATAAAAAAACAACAACCCCCAAAAAACAAAACAAAAACCAACAACAAGAAACCAAACCAAACAAATCCCCGCCCCCAAAGTAAATAATATAAATAGATAAATAACTAAATTGATAAATAAAATAAAATATACACAACTAAACAAAATAGCAGCATCGATTGTAAGTCCTTCTAAATGTAGACTGAAGTCATTAGTTATGGTGTGACTGTCCCAACATGGTACAATGTGTGAAGCCCATTTCTAGTGTCCCCTGCCGTGATACTGCTCCCGCTATTGCTTAAACTGCAACGAAAAACTAAACTCACTCAGTCAAAGGCACTATGTCCCTTATAGCTCGGGTCGAATGTAGTAATATTTCAGAAGAGAAACAATGCCTACCCATAGTTTTATGTTTTGGTGTACGTCTGTTTATATGTCCAGATTGCAGCACAGATGTTTGGGGGCTTCAGCGCATTAGAAACATCATCGTAGGCCAAAAACAGACATAGATAGAATTGAGTTGATATATGTTGGCATTATTCTTGTACCTGTGCCGACCTGGCAACGTCTGGTAGAGTGTACATAGGCATCACGCCAGCCAGTGTCATTACGCGAAGGGATTCTTTCATTTCACTGTTGTAGATACTGTAATTGATTGCGATTGAAGCGTGTGATTGCCAATATTGCATATGCTGAATGGGAACTCCTGTACCTAAATGATAAGAAAGCATCATTCAACCCAAAAAAGCTTTCACCCGGGTTAGAATTGGTTTCCATTAATCCATGCTTGTGAAATGGGGGTGGGCGGTGGGGTAGCCTAGTGGTTAAGGCGTTCGCTCGTCACGCCGAAGACCCGGGTTCGATTCCTCTCCTGGCTACAATGTGTGAAACCCATTTCTGGTGTCCCGCGCCGTGATATTGCTGGAAAGTTGCTAAAACAAAACTCGATTGTCTGGTACGGAGCTGGGAGATTACTGCGTGTGGCGTTACACAACAAACAAACAAACAAACAAACAAACCGAAACCTGTGGAATAGCCATACAGATAAATAACGTTATATGTCTCTTTTTGTTTGTTGTTTATCGACGCAGTCACCAACATACCAGCTATATCACGACGGCCTGTAAATAATACCAGGCAATCCAGTGATTGATATCATGAGCATCGATCTACGCGGTGAATGATCATAGAAAGAATAGTAAGACCGTGAACTCACTGATAATTGTGAAAACAATATATATTAAGGGGGTGCATTGGCTTTGTAAACACCTTTTATTAGAGTTCGGTGTCCATATATATAATGTCATACCTGAGCGTATTTATGCAATATATACGAAGGCATAGGGTATATCAATAAACTGTAATCATCTAATAGCTTTAAGCTTTAAGCTGCAACATCAATATAACGTCGGCATAGACAAACCAAGGAACAAATCTAGGATTCAAACCTACGTATGCTTTAACATCCGTGCTAAAGGAACAAGATTCACACACCGAGTTGAGATGTCTCGTATCTGTGAAAGGTTTCAACCAACCAGTCAGAAAGTAATGACAGTAACTACCGGCGACTACTTTGTGTTCTTTTCACAACCTTCCATGAATACGTTCCGTTTTCCAGTTGATGGTATCCCACTTCGAGATAACCGGTGGTTAGAAATTTCTTTCAAATTTAAAAAGTTTCCGAAAAAGGAACGTTCAATGTTTTAATCTCACATTTGTCAGCTAAGTCACTGCTTCTGTTAGCAAATATGGAGCGTGAATGTAAAGAATACCCAACAATACGGACGGAGTCAGCTGTATTTAATGCATGTAATCAATGTAATCATTGGCCTTGCATTTTGTAATTAACAATTTGCATTAATATAAAACCATTATCTGTTGTATTGTGGTGGTTATATTCGTCGAAGCAGTGTTTATTTAAGGTTATTAATTGCAGAATCTTGTGGAAGATACCATAAAGCCTTACAATGACGAACAACTCCCACGTCGACTTTAAACTTATCAGTCAACATGACATTTCGACTTCAATGATCTTGATATTTGCTTTATTCAATTGTAACACATTTATGTGAAAAATGACTCATGGTTGTTACTGGATAGAAACCGTGTTCTTGTGTAATTACATTACTAGATAATGCAAGTAAAACAATGATGTCTCACGGGGTTTGTATCACGCTTTAATCATATAGATCTCGACATGTAGATTGACAATGATGTTAACTCACGCAGTTGGGAATCACGTGATTCTGTGAATTCTGCAACTTTTCCTGAAGTTATATAGCTGTAGCCGTATGGTGATTGGCCATGTACAAAATATGAAAAAGTGAGTGAGTATGGTTTTGACAGCTTTTAGCAATATTCCAGCAATATCACTGCAGGGGACATACATTAATTGACCTTTCACACATTGAACGCAGTAATGCACACATTATAGAGGAGTGAGTGAGTATGGTTTTATGCCGCTTTTAGCAATAATCCAACAATATCATGGCGGGGGACACCAGAAATGGGCTTTACTCATTTGGGGAATCGAACCCGGATCTTCGGCGCGACGAGCGATCGCTTTAACCACTAGATAGAACATATTTAGTGATAACTTATAGATATTAAACTTACTTTGAAAATATATAAATAACAGGGCATTGCCTAAGTTTGTCTTTTTATTGCACACTATTATTTTGTTTAATTAAACACTTAATAAAATTAGATTACATTTAATAAACATGAAGCGTTATTCTAAGGCAACAACTTATTTGACATTGCAACTTTACTCTTCTGTAATCTGAGCAGTTCTGTCAGTTCTGGTGCAGGGTGATCAAAGGATGCAGGTTAACAACGGGCAAACCTTGGCATCTTCAGCATGGACGCTGGGGGCACTGGTCATCAGTTCGTTGTGAGTTCTGTTTGGGATCGTGGGTTCAGGGACCAGATTTGTTTGCGTCTAAATCTGTCATCACGTCCGATAGCTGCATCACTTCGGAGCAAATCAAGCTGACACGCAGTAATATACGAGGGGCGATCAGAAAGTATGTAGAATCACCAAGAAAACGATACAAATGCAGTTATTTTTATGTTTTATTTTTCTACATATTATCTATCAAGCTCAAGCCATTTGGTTTTGCTATGTTCCCGTCTCACGATCCCCATTTTTTTTTTAACCTTTTATCTTGGTACCCTCAAAAAAAGCAAAATCTACAATAAATGCATAAACAGTTTTTATTTTATAAAGAAACATTATTGCAAGTAAAGTATAAATTACATCCGTGATGTGGTGTCACGTGAATGCCAAACTGAAACATAATTTGTTCAAAATTCATTTCTTTGTGTCTGTTACGAATAATGTGAAATTATTCTTGTCTCCATGTGTTCTTTTGTGGCCGACAGCTTTGAGCCAGCGTGAATCGATTTTATTAATGCTACACATCGCGATGTAAAATGAAGACTTCTTCGACCAGCGCAACGCAATTTGCCATCATCACGTGGTCCCATTCATTCATGAATCTTTAATTGTTATGAATACAAACACTAGTTTCTTCTTCTGATCTGTTTAGGTAATGGAGTCAGGGTCAACGGAAATGAATCTCACTATTTCCCTGGTCGCCTGTGATACGTTTAAGACAGAATGTAACAGACAGATATAGACCCAGCACCTTTGTCCGATCCCTACATCACGTGTTACCGATGCATCATTGATGAAAACCTATACCTTCATCACGTACAAATATAATTGTTACGGTCTGTTGATAACCTATGTATTTGAGGTACTATT